AAAACGAAAACTTATATTCTTTATTTAGATTGTTTTTTGAAGATATATTTTTCTCTTAAATATTACACACACACACACACTCACACACACACACACACACACACATATATATATATATATAACTTAATATATCTATTAAAGACCAAAACTTTGATCAACTTTCTTTTATATATTTAAATATATAAATTTAATTATATAAAAGGTGATTAAAATTTTGGTCTTTCAGTTATTCTTTCTCTCGTTATGCGCTTAATCCCTTTCAGGACGTAGGCGATCTTGGCTCTCCACAGTTTCCTCTACTTGATTGCTTTCCTTTGTTGCATTGCTCATCCATTAATAACATGTATCTGATTACGATGACAACTTTGCTTACTATCAAATTGTCATTTACCTATAAGATGTTGGTTTAACTTATTGTAATTATCTGAAAGATAATGGAAGATTTAAAATACCTTCACACATTCCGGAAGCCTTGTTGTTGAAAATCTTGGCACTCCTCACCTTTCAACAAATTATTTCATTTGAACTTTTTTTTTTTAATTATTTGCGGAGAATGACAAAACGGATTAATTCCTTGATTGCGGTTTCGATCGCCCCTACTTCCAGTTATGAGTATTCTGTTTTATTATTATTATTATTTTTATTTTTTGTTTGTTTTTAACACTAGTAGCATCTGGTAGCTTTCGCTAGGTATCAAATGATAGCAATGTTCAGTACTTCAACTCTGTCTTCCTCCATCTCATTATTATTATTATTATTATTATTATTATTATTATTATTATTATTATTATTATTATTTCCTTTGATTTCTGTTGCATACACATTTCCTTCCGGGTCCCAACCAGAGACCTAAAGTTAGAAACGACTCCATGACATTTTCCACAGATCATTGTTGTAAAAAAAAAAACCCCGAAAACCGAAGATCACACACATTTTATATAGATAAAGCTCTTCGTAATAATAATAATAATAGTTGTTATTATTATTATTATTATTATTATTATTATTATTATTATTATTATTATTATACAACAGAATGTCCACAGCAGATATCTAATTGAATTGTGATCATTTAAAGTACTGAGTGACAGCAAGTCTTCTCAGATCTCCAAAACAATGTTCAGTATCCTTGCAGACTCAGGTTGAGTAACTCCAAATCTGCTCAATACTCCAGCACCTTCCTCAGTATTTTTTATCGATTTCTGTAATGATGTATTAATAGTTCCAGTTCTTCATCGGTTATTTACCTGTTCCTGTCTTTTTGCTCGTCCTCAGGACCGTTCCAAACGCTCCCATAAATCATCTTTAGCGTTTCTTTCTTTCTTTCTTTCTTTCTTTCTTTCTTTCTTTGTCTATTCCTTTCCTTCTTTATTTTAGTCTGTCTATTTCTTTCTTTCTTTCTGAATCTATTCATTTCTGCCATTGTTTTCTCATCTGCTCATTGCTTTCATTCTTTCTTTTTTAGTCGATTCATTTCTTTGTTATTCATTTTTTTCTTTTGTTCGTTCATTCGTTTTTTTTTTTTTTTTTTTTTCTTTCATAGTTTGATCATTTTTGCCTTTCTTTTTTTGTTTGTCTATTCATTTTTCATTCTTAGTCAGTGTATTTCTTTCTTTCTTTCTTTCATTCCTTCTTTCAATCTTTCGTAGTCTTTCTTTTTGTACTCCCATTAATATATCATTCCTTTCTGTCTTCTTTCTTTGTTTCTCCCATACTCTGTTGATTTCGCTCTGTTTTTTTTTTATTTATTATTATCCTATTCGTTCTATCTTTCTTTCCTTCTCACTTTCTTTCTTAGTCTATTCATTTCTTTCTTTTTCTTAGGCGGTATATTTAATTCTTTCTTCTTTTTCTTTCTTTCTATATTTCTTAGTCTGTTCTTTTTTTTTTTTTTTTTGTTCCTTAGCTAATTGCTTTCATTCTTTCATTTTTAGTCGGTTCGTTTCTTTTATTTGTTTTTCATAGTCAATTTGTTTGTTTCTTTTTCCTTTGTTCCTTCCTTCCTCCCGTTCTTTCTTTCTTTCTTTCTTTCTTTCTTTCTTTCTTTCTTTCTTTCTTTCTTTCTACCATGGTCTGTTCATCTGTTTCTTTGTTTTTCTTAATATTCCTATTTCTTTCTTTCTTTCTTTCTTTCTTTCTTTCTTTCTGTCTGTCTGTCTTTCCTTCTTTCTTTCTTTCTTTCTTTCTTTCTTTCTTTCTTTCTACCATGGTCTGCTCATCTGTTTCTTTGTTTTTCTTAATATTCCTATTTCTTTCTTTCTTTCTTTCTTTCTTTCTTTCCTTCTTTCTTTCTTTCTGTCTGTCTGTCTTTCCTTCTTTCTTTCTTTCTTTCTACCATGGTCTGTTCATCTGTTTCTTTGTTTTTCTTAATATTCCTATTTCTTTCTTTCTTTCTTTCTTTCTTTCTTTCTTTCTTTCTTTCTTTCTTTCTGTCTGTCTGTCTTTCCGTCTTTCTTTCTTTCATTCTTTCTATCTGTGTATTATTTATAAAATGTTATAACGCTTACCAAGATGGGAACATAATCGATAAACCAGTTTCGAATTCTGATTAAAGCAATACATGTTCAGTTTTCATAACTGCTTTTAGGAAAAGCTTAAAACCATTTCTCCCTTAATATTATCCCGTCGCTATATGCCTCGATAGCGGGTGGGGGGACTACGCCACGGTTATTATGCCCCGTGGGTTGACGGAGAAGAGAATGTGCAATTGGGAACTATTGCAAAGCACTACCTGCTAATTATCTCAGTAGCCTTAGAAGCGAAACACGCTCTGGAGGTTGTTGTCATCCTTAACAAGAGGAATGAATCATTATTATTTGCCTCTTTTTTACATTTCTAACCGAAGCTGTTTCCAGACGGTTATGTACAATATATATTATATATTAGAGTCAAAATTTCCGCTTTTTTAAAATTAAATTTAATCTTCAATAAAGATAAAAGTACATTTATATTTTAATCAATTATATAATGAGTATTCTTTGCAATGACTTGTTGCCTGTTATCAGACAGCTCTTCGATAACTTTTGAGTAAAACTCCGCAGGTTTTTACGTGGAATCTTTTATTTACTTATCTATTATTATTGTCAGTGGCTCGGATTGAGGAATCGGAGTTCGAATTCCAGTCGAATCCATTACATTCACTTACGTGCTAATACCGTTGGGAAATGTATGAATCCTCTTCTTCTCCCCCCAGCTATGGATAAATAGCAGGACAGACCGGATTCTATAGCCTTGGATGGCAACTGGTTTACCGCAGAAAGAAATGGCAACCTAGTACAGGAAAAAATCTGCCTCGTCAGTCACGTATCGAAAGATTCATGATCGCCTAAGCGTATATCACGCATGGCACATAACTGACTGACTAATTATTATTGTCAATACGTAATGCACAATGAAATTTGACAGCAGTCTTCGGTTGTACCAATGCACATAGAGAAGAAAAAAAAACATTGTCGAATGAAGAAAAGAAATAACGCTTCAAATGCGTTGAAAATTGTCAGCACGCGACAGCGTTCATTTTACACAGGGCCCAAGGATAAAAGTTGCCTTTCGGGAACTTCATCCAAGAAATAATCCAACTAAAACGTCGGCTTAAGGGTAACAGTTCAAACAACAGGTACCCAGGATGCGTGCTTTCTTTCATTATGTTTTCTGCTATCCAGAGACAAGAATTAGAAATATCTTCCAGAGAGGGCAGCGAGCGGCCATTTATTTTCCTGGGAAACATCTATAACCAGTGGCAACCTACCGGTTTGCAGAAACCGATTCTCAAATTTGAAAAAGCTTAGCGAACCGGTTGTGGGATTATCCGAAAACAATCGTATATATTAATAACCGATATATAATAGGTAAAAATATAATTACTGCCATTCCTGTAAGTTCTGTGGAGGCTTAAAAAGGGTTTTCTGTGGTGAACATAATTTATTCTTACAAAAGAAATTGTCTCGAAGTTAAGATTGTGGCAAATCTTCTAGTCATAAATTTGATAGGTCTTCCATTGAATCTTTTGGACCGCATCGATTCAGTTCAAATGTTGCTAAGGAACAATAACACGGCTGGTATCACTAGACAAAAAGAATCATACTTCTGAAGAGAAATATGATGAGAACAGAATTTCAATCTGGAAATATCTTAATAAATTAATGTTTTCTATTAAATTATCAAAATGGTTTAATTCTTTTTTATACTATAAAGTGGTTTGTTTCCATTATCAGATTGGAAAGAAAATAAACACAATAGGTTCCTAAAGATTGTCTGCTTTTAGAGAACTGGTTCCAGAAAACTTTGGATACCATTATTGTTTATAACTATTTAAAGGGATCTCCTGTCCGCTGAAGAGCAGCTGGCATACCAAACAGTATATTCTCAATAGAGCAGAGGTAGACGGCCATTAGTAGCTTTGTTTGTAATATTTTTTCTGAGAATTATCAATAGAGTCTTTCTCAACTAAAGCGATGGTATATCTCTATCTATAAAAGGCATGGTGTGTGTGTGTGTGTGTGTGTGTGTGTGTGTGTGTGTGTGTGTGTGTGTGTGTGTGTGTGTGTGTGTGTGTGTGTGTGTGTGTCTAATGAATGCACGGCCGCAATTTTCGACGGATTTGCACCAAAATTTACATGCACATGCTCCAAGTTAGCGAAAAGGCCAAGACCAACTTTGCATTTCCCGACTCCCATCGATAGTGAAAATAATCGATTTTTTCATGCTTCTACAGCAGTTTTCATGTAGTTTGCGGCCATTTTATACTGGCCAGAGTGATAGCCAACACCTGACTGACACGAATGTTAACTAGCATGCTAGCATGCAAAAAAACAATTGATAGCTGCATTCGTCACATGTGGGAAAAATTTAAATCTGCATGGCACTTTAATCCAATTGGCTCATTCGGTGATTAAACTCAACGTTGATTCTGATTCCGCAGAACTGGATTGGCTGTGAAAAAGTAGTGCTCTCATAACGAGTGGAATGACGGCTAACTTCATGTTCCTATAATTATTAACATGCAAATGGAACCTAATCTAATCGTAAAAGTATGATAACTCGGTTTCTAACACGTGGTTCTTGTTATATATTACACACATGTCAGTGTACGAGGCTTATGGCCACATAACGTTGAAACACTAGTTCCCGTACGATCACCAAAGTTAAGCAACGTCGAGACTGGTCAGTACCTAGATGAGTAACCGCTTGAGAATACAATGTGCTGTAAGCTTGAATGTGCCTTTTGTACGGCTTATAGTCATGTCACGATGAAACACCTGTTCCCGTACGATCACCGAAGTTAAGCAACGTCGATTCTGGTCAGTACCTAGATGGGTGACCGCTTGAGAATACAATGTGCTGTAAGCTTGGTTGTACAGCTTATAGCCATATCACGTTGAAACACCGGTTCCTGTACGATCACCAAAGTTAAGCAACGTCGATCCTGGTCAGTACCTAGATGAGTGACCGCTTGAGAATACAATGTGCTGTAAGCTTGGATGTGCCTGTTGTACCGCTTATAGCCATATCACAATGAAACACCGGTTCCTGTACGATCACCGAAGTTAAGCAACGTCGATCCTGGTCAGTACCTAGATGAGTGACCGCTTGAGAATACAATGGGCTGTAAGCTTGGATGTGCGGGTTTTACGGCTTATAGCCATATCACGTTGAAACACCGTTTCCCGTACAATCACCGAAGTTAAGCAACGTCGAGACTGGTTCAATAATGTTAACAACGAAATTTCAAATATGAAATCCGTTATTATTATTATTATGAAAAAAAATATTTCTGACCTCAATTTGTCTGATAATCACATGCCGGGTCAATAACCAATATTTTACTTAGTTAAACAAAAGGCAGCTATTAACATCAACAGTTCTCCGCAGGATATGGGCTGTGCTTGTTCGAATAATTTTGTGGATTTTCCTGCAGAAGTGGATTTTGTTGATTTATTCGTCTGTTCCTTTTTTTTATCAGATCCAAAGCTCCAACCACAACAGGAAGAGCTTCAGCTTTGAAGTGCTACATTCTTTCTATTTCCTTCTCCAGGTATTTGTATTTGCTTAATGTATTCAAATCAGTGTGTAGACTTTCTTTTTTCATTTCGGTTGCTGATAATAATGACAAGTCGATTTGCTTGTATTGATCGATCTGTGTTGATTGAAAAAATCCAGGTGACGAGAATAAATGATTCCTCCACCACAGATTCAAGATAATGTTCATACCAGTTTTGCTGTTGGTTTTATTCCATAGTGACGAGTGTTCTTCCGATGCTGATGCAAATGATCTAAACTCTGTCCTGATGGATTTTGTACTCATTGGGTGAGAATACTGAATATCCTAAGATAATGTGATCAATAGTTTCCAATGTATTGTTCATAGAACCTGCCTTTTGGGCGGGTAATATTATTTTACTAATACTAGCTTTCTTCTTCTTCTTCTTCTTCTTCTTCTTCTTCTTCTTCTTCTTCTTCTTCTTCTTCTTCTTCTTCTTCTTATTATTATTATTATTATTATTATTAGTTCCGTTGATTTCCGTCGTATACGCATTCTTTTAGGTGTTTATAAATTGTACACTATTCAATTACTTATGTTAACAAGGAAATATTTTAAGTTACAAAATTGTACTTGGATTAAACGAAAATTATTTACAATATAATACATATTACTTATAATACATTCCTTCTTGCTGTCAATTTTGACTGCACGGGTACACTAGTCATCATTCCTTTGATTTCTGCTGTATACGTATTTCTTCCTGGGTCCCAAACATGGATCTAACGTTAGAAATGGCAGCATATTTTCCTCGACATATTTGTCCAAAAAGCTGTTCGTAGGCTGTTGACTGTGCCTGTGAGAACATTTCTTTCTGATTTCTTTAAGGCATTGGCCGTCAGTGATAACTTCGATGAGTATATGAGAACATGTTCCAATCGAACCCAGAGTCCCCATCTAAAACCAGAATAACTGATGTCTTCAAGTGACACATTCTTGAATTTTCTACTTCAAAATCTTTATATTTTTGTAGTTATTTTTAAGATCATCAAAGCTACAGCAGTGTACAGGGATGCTAGTGAATAATCATATTCGGATTTTGTGGTCTTCATTATTATTATTATTATTATTATTATTATTATTATTATTATTTCCTTTGATATCTGCTGTATCCACATTTCCTTCCGGGTCCCAATCAGAGACCTAAGGTCAGAATTGGCTTCATGACATATTCCACTGATCAGTTTTAAAGAAAATAATAAAAATAAGATCATACATATTTTGCATAGATATAGACCTTCGTAATGTGGAAGCTGTACTTGCGAGGACAATTTTCATATTTCTTTAACGCATGAGCTGTCAGGAATGCTTTCAATAAGTCTCTATTGAAAACATTTCCAATCAATCCGAGGGCTCCAACTATAACTAGGATTAATAATGTCCTCCTGTGTCACATTTTATAGATTACCACTTCAAGATCATTGTTTTTTTTGTTTTGTTTTTTTTTTGATAGTTTTTTG